TATGGACACGCAAGTGGGATGGGAAACACTATCCAAATCAACCCGTTAAAGTACACCAGAGTAACATGCACCACTCAATGTAGGATCAAATATTCTATGCTAGTGTTTTTCCGTTAAAAAAATAATTGATGTCCGTAGTGTTTTTCGTAGAATAATATCACAAAAGTAATGGAAAGTTTGAAATATTAGAATTTGAATGTATGCTGTGTCATATCATGTTTTATATATTTTTGGTAAATGTGTCTGTATATGTCCTAGTGGGATAAGGCTTGTTCTTGTTCTTGTTATTTGTCGTTGTGTCCATATCCATGTCCATTCTTCATATGTGTTCCACACTCAATACTTGCTGCAATCTTGCCTATCAAGTCATTGAAAATAACTAAGTGCACGAAACCGGTTGGCAACATTACTGATTAGCGAGCGCTGCCAAATGTTTCTACTTTTATGAGGTTGCAAAGGATACTTACATTTCTACATTGTCGCACAGATTCCTGAAGGCTAGGAAATTTGATATTGAGAAGACAACGCAAATGTGGTCTGACATGCTCCAGTGGAGAAAAGAATTTGGCACTGACACAATTATGGAGGTACATGGTTGTTTCAAATATATTTCTTGAGGAATAAGGGGTCTTTTTAATCTTAATTTATACTTGTGCTTCTCTGACTTTGTTCTGTTCCTAACAAGATTTTATTTACACTATTTGTCCCCAATCTTCACTTGTTTTTCCCTTTTTACTAGGATTTTGATTTCAAGGAACAAAGTGAAGTCTTAAAATATTATCCCCAAGGGCATCATGGAGTAGATAAAGATGGACGACCTGTGTACATTGAGAGATTAGGTCTAGTAGACTCAAACAAGCTGATGCAAGTGACATCCTTAGATCGCTATATCAAGTATCATGTAAGGGAGTTTGAGAGGACATTTGACATAAGTTGCCAGCATGTTCAATTGCTGCAAAGAAGCACATTGATCAAAGCACAACCATCCTGGATGTGCAAGGAGTGGTATGCTTGAGAAACGATCAATTGTATGTCAAGATTGAAGCTGCAATTAAAAGAAATATGTTGACAATTGATCATGGCTCTGCAAAATTGACAATCCATAATTTGTTGGCAATATCAAGGATGGTTTTTTGGTGACCTAACATGAATCTTACTTGCTAAGAAAATTTTTTTTGGAATATATGGGAAGGTATTAATTATATTTTGATTTATGCAACAGGGGCTTAAGAACTTTAGCAAATCTGCCAGAGATCTTGTGACTGCCCTTCAGAAGGTTGATGGTGACAATTATCCAGAGGTATTGTATCCTCATTTGGTTAGTCCACAACCGTATGCAAGTAAGCACCCCCATGCACATCCATGCATGCAAGCACACCCACACACTGCTGGGGTTTATTAACTTAAATAGACGAATCTTTGGAAATGATATTTATATAGACAACTACAAGACAAAATACATATTTTAGCAAAGGATGGAGGGGACCATTTGAGGGGGGGGGGGGCAGAAGCACCCCCCTTTTCCCCACCTGGATCCCTCTCACCCCACACACACACAACTTGAATTTGAGAGTTGTAACACCATAAAGTACTTCATCGCAGAGCTTGAATCGTATGTTCATCATCAATGCTGGTTCTGGATTCAGAATGTTATGGAGCACTGTAAAATCCTTCCTTGATCCCAAGACCACAGCAAAAATTAATGTGAGAATAAACCATATACTAAATCTGCTTGTTTTGTCAGGTAAATAAACTATTCATTTGAAAGTTGCACTTAATCAGGTTCTTGGCAACAAGTACCAGAGCAAATTGCTTGAAATAATTGATGCAAGGTGAGGATGTTAATGGCAATGTATTGTGCAGTGTTTTGTTTGTTAGTTAGCAAATACTTTTAGACCTTTTTCACCCCCGCAATTTTTATTATCTTAAAATATTCAAAAAGACTGACTAGATTATTTGGAAGCTTCATCCATCCATTGTGTTGCTTTTCCAGTGAATTGCCAGAATTTCTGGGAGGTACTTGCACCTGTGCTGATCAAGGAGGTTGTATGCTTTCTGATAAGGGCCCATGGAAGAATGAGAAATATTGAGGGTGGTTGTAATTCTTTTTTCTTAATTTTTACATCTTGGATTCTGTGTTCTATGTATAGACAAGAAAACTATTATATTTGATATATGGACTTGCAGAAGGTTCTAATTGGTGAACATAAATGTTCAAGCAAAAGTGAGTCACATGTAGTGGAAGATAAGACACTGTCTGAGGTAGTGCCAATGTCTGAGGGAACACCGGTGTCCGAGTCAGTGCCAGTGTCTGAGGAGGTGCCTACCATTGACCACATCAGTTACGCCAAAGAAACTCCAGTATATGATGAGGTATGTCAGTATCCATGCATACATTTGTTAGCCATCAAAAGCCTGTTTCTTTAGGCCAGCATCTAGGTTAAGTCGTTAGACTTGAGTAATGAAGCAATAAGAATTGTTGCTCTAATGTGTTAAATAATTGGATACATGTATTACTCTGAATGCTAAGAGATCAGGTTGCCAACTTTAAGGATGCACCTATTTATTCATGTATGTGAATCTATAGTGTTGAAACTCCCTTAAATATTTTTTTTATTTATCCCGAATAGATGTTTGATCTCACTGCATGTTCTTTCCGACTTGAGTGGGTCCTAGTTTTAGACACCATTTCCTTGGTCTTTTCTACAACTTTATGCAGGTTTTAACTTCTATGGAGTATATTGTGGTAGTTTCATGTGACTGTTGATTTACACGGAAGAACTTGTTTGTAGCTTTCAAAGCAATAGAGACACTGCTGAACATTTAAGCCAATAGTTTAGCTAGAAAAGCTCATGATCTTGTCACTGGGTTTTGCACCTTTGATCATTCCCCTCTCCCTGATGAAAGATAATTGGTGACTCCTTATTATGTCTTTTATTACACTTCTTGCCCCTTTTCTCAAGTGAATGAAAGTTTTTTAGTTTGTATTAAAAACCAAAAATTTGAGGCTTCTGGGCTCCCCGTAGTCAATTTCCCTTCTGACATATATTATTCGTTTCTTTTTTGCACGTTTCCCCAGCTGTTACTTTCTGAAATTATAAACTTAACAGGTCCCTGCTACTCGGGCTTGCAAATCCGAGGATTTAGTCCTAGCAGCTGATAAAATGGCTATGAAAAAGTTGAAGACAGCGAGAAATTAGCAATATCAAAAGGTACTTGATGAATCCTTATTTGTTTCGTCTATCCTCTCTAATACATATTCTTTTCCTGCTACATTGACTGCTTTGGGAAAACAAAGTTGATAGGCGTTCTTTTATGACTTATTGCGATACTAGATGCGGGTTGTGATTCATGAATTAATAATAGCAGACCATTTTAATTTTTACAGATTTTAAATATTGAATATATTGAATGAATTGATTATTGATGATTCCTTGTCTGCAATGTGAACTGCTTTGGTGGAAAAAACAGAAATTACCGATAGGCATGCTTTTGTGACTTATTGCAACCTCACGTCTATCTCTTGCCTTGCCATTTGTTATCTGAAGCTGGAATTGATACTTTTATCAATATGGCCGATACTTACAAGCTACACGAGAAATTCAACTACCAGCTTTTCACTGGTGTCATGGCCTTTGTTATGGGCATACTGACCATGGTCAAAATGACCCGAAACATGCCCAAGAAGATCAACGATGGCAACTTCTACTCCAATCCTACTTTTCTCTGCTGACTCGACGTTTACAGGCCAGACCCCTGCTGACGATCCCATGCCCACAATCTCTGCTGAAGAGTTTATGACTGTTCTGAAACGCATGGCTGAGTTGGAAGAGAAAATGGTCACCATGAATATTCCGGCTTACATGCCACCCGAGAAGGAGGAGATGCTTATTGCTGCTATGAACAGAGCGATGTATTGGAGAAAGAACTAATGGCTACCAAGAAGGTAAACAATATACTCCACTCCAATATCATATGATGCATCTTAAACCAAACGTAATGACATTTTTTTCTGCATTACATATCAATCCACTGCTATTTCGTACTTGTTTAGCTCCACGATCCATTTAAGAGCAGTGTTTTTAACCGTCGATTCTTCAGGCTTTGGAGGATTCACTTGCCCAACAAGAGGAGCTTTTAGCTTATATCGACAAGAAGAAGAAGAAGAAATGGGTACACGACCAAAACCATAACATTGCTCACAATTTTTGTTTGCTGAATGATCGATCTCTGGGTTTTCAACTTGCTATTGCTCCCCTTTGTAATGCAGTTTTGGATGAAAAATATCCGAAGACGCCTACAACCTGCGATATGCCATGCCATAGACTGGCGGTGGAATGATTTGTTCTTTGGGAAGACGTCCTCGATGCCCTCTATTTTTTCCAAGATGTAAATTAGTTTTTGTAGTGGAGTGATCATATATCTATATCGATATGTATAATATAGAGGGAAACCCCCAGTTCTAACGGATAGTATTAAAATTAAAATTGACTTTATATCATGAGAATTTTTATACATTATTATTGTTGGTATAGAAATTTTGTTATGAACATGTATGCCTGTTTTTTAAAATATTAGTTGCACTAAATTAACACGATAAATGTTTATTGTTCAAGAAAGAATTACATCGATATCTTTCTAACCCCACATTTTTTTAACCTAATACTCTTAATATTAATGCTAATTCACCATCCTTTTCATCTTCAACCACTTTCTCTCGATCTCTAAACTTTACTGTGATCTAATTCAGAATTCATGGCAGAGCTGGACAGCCCCAACTCCAACTCTGAGTGTAAAAATCCCCCCACAACCACTGGGGCTTGAATTGTTCGATTCTGTCACGCATTTGATTATATATATATATAAAAGTCGAAGCTATTTGCCAAAGGTGGCTGTAGTTTAGTGGTAAGAATTCCACGTTGTGGCCGTGGAGACCTGGGCTCGAATCCCAGCAGCCACATCAATTCTTTCTTTTTTATTTTTAAATGAATTTCCTTTTTTATCGTCAAATCGAAATCCCACCCCCACATTGAATTGAAATTCGTTAACCGCGCGGAATTGACTTGCAAGGATAGGAGCAGACGTAGAATGGCGGCTGGTGATGAGAAACATTCTGGAAAATGGCGTTATACTTGGGAAGCACAGTCCCACGTCCCTACTCTTCGTCTCTTGCTTTTCGCTAAAAACGCTAATCCTTCTTTGCAATGCCTCAATCTAAAAGTTCTACTTCTTCCTTCTCAGTCTCTGGTGGCTGTGAGCTGGCTTGAGCCCACCCTAGTCTCGCTCAGGGTTCCGATTCCTAGGGTTTTGGTCGACTTTGAATCACCTCCCAGTTCTCGAGCTTTGGACGATCACATTGAAGTGAAGCTCCTACTCGTTCTGCCGGTCGATCATCCCATTGTCTCTAGCTTCGATTCTGTGATGAATCTGTCTGATGACCCAGTAAATGTATTACCTGACGTATCAAAGCCTCTAATAATGGAATCTGGTAATCTGAATGTATTAGTCTGACTACTCGATAATAATCAAATGCGGAACAAAGTTATTTCTCGATTACAATTAATTATTTTGTTCTAGTTCATTTATCCTTTTCATATTCATATCATAATACTAACATGAAAAACAGAGGAACAGAGATGTTCTTGCTTTTATTTGAAAGCAAGTTAGACACGTTTTTGTGTGGGCGGCGCGTAGTGAACTTCGTTACTTATGATTAACGGGACTTATTTTATATTGATTCAAGCCCTTTCATGAATGTGACTATGTGTGTTCGATCTGTCTCCATTTCGATGCGGATAGATTGCAATTTTGAGTGTAATGCGTTTAATATCTTCCTTTCAACGGATATCTTGGTGGGCACCAAAGCTACTGTGGGCATGTTGAAACGCAGATGATGAAAATTAGCTGTATTCTTGGACACATAATTTCAATAGTGATGCAAACATTGCCATTTATATTCCAGCCAAGCACTGAACTTCACCTTTTCAATAAATCTTCTTCTTACATTTTGGATTTAGCATGGCCTTGTGATTAGTTGGATTTTGCATTATTTCATTTATTTGTAATTTGCTATTCTACTTCTTTCTTTGGTTCAGATGTAAAAAATTTATCTTCCAGAGCATCAGTTCATTTTTATTGCAGAAGTTGCTCCTTCAAATTGACTAGAAATCCTCTCAGGTAGAATGCATATTTTTTTTTTTTTTTGGATGACTAGTTTGATTTATATTTATTCCTTGCCTGGTACATCCGTTGAGAAGTCTTACCTACAAACTTACTTGGTTTATGTGGTTGAAATTTAATAGCAAATTGTTTGATTATTGCATTTCTTACTAAAAGTAACATGGCCTTACTGGCTTTTAAATTTTTTTGCTGTGAAGAGTTTTATCGTCTCATTTTTTGGCACAACTTATCTAGGAGTTTGGTTGAAATGCCATCAGTCAATTGGCGAGAGGTGGCTGACAACTGGTTTGGGGCTTGTTGTTGTTCATTTGGAGGCATAAGTGAGAAGCTGGTGATCAAATATGCAAATTCTTATACTTGCGCACCAGGGGTATGCCTATTAAGCTCTACATCTATTACTATTTGCAAGGATGATCTTATTGAGTATAACTTCCTTGAAAGTGGTGGAGAAGAAGAGTGTAATCCTAAATCTGATAATTTTGAAGAAGGAATTAACAAAGCTTCTATAAAATCTGAGATGTCTATGGAAAGGTCTTCAACTTGCAGTGAGATTGGTAAAACCATATATAATTCTGACGGAAGTTCAAGGTTTGCAGATTCTGAGAATGAAAACCTTCATATGAACTTGGGACTTGAAGCTGGTAAAGTAATATCTAATCATGATGACTTCTCTCGTTCGTACCCAGATTCAAATGTCCCTGCAGATGTGGCTATGGCTCCTAGTCGTTCTGCTCTGATGGCAAGCAGCGTTCCCCATCTTGAGAATGAGGATTGGAAACATCAATGCTGTGAAAATGCTAGAAAAGAACATAGAGATACAGCAGCCATGGAAATTCTTGCAAGTCAGAAGTCATTCCTCAATGGGTTTCTTGAAGATGTTTTCATGGCTAGATCATCCAATCTTGTGAGAAGCTGGTGATCAAATATGCAAATTCTTATACTTGCGCACCAGGGGTATGCCTATTAAGCTCTACATCTATTACTATTTGCAAGGATGATCTTATTGAGTATAACTTCCTTGAAAGTGGTGGAGAAGAAGAGTGTAATCCTAAATCTGATAATTTTGAAGAAGGAATTAACAAAGCTTCTCTAAAATCTGAGATGTCTATGGAAAGGTCTTCAACTTGCAGTGAGATTGGTAAAACCATATATAATTCTGACGGAAGTTCAAGGTTTGCAGATTCTGAGAATGAAAACCTTCATATGAACTTGGGACTTGAAGCTGGTAAAGTAATATCTAATCATGATGACTTCTCTCGTTCGTACCCAGATTCAAATGTCCCTGCAGATGTGGCTATGGCTCCTAGTCGTTCTGCTCTGATGGCAAGCAGCGTTCCCCATCTTGAGAATGAGGATTGGAAACATCAATGCTGTGAAAATGCTAGAAAAGAACATAGAGATACAGCAGCCATGGAAATTCTTGCAAGTCAGAAGTCATTCCTCAATGGGTTTCTTGAAGATGTTTTCATGGCTAGATCATCCAATCTTTCAGAAGATATTGATTGGTGTGAATTCATGTGCCCTCAGTGCAAGTCTGTTCTTGGAGCCTATCCAAGTTGTAAGGGCGATGCACCTGTAGATGGAGGAGTACGATTGTTCAAATGTAATATTTCTACTTGTTTGCCAACTAGAGGATCTGGAGACTTGTTCAGGTTAGCAAATATTTGTTTTTGTCTAATATTTTATTAATATTCTTTTATTAGGAAAATGTTTAAAAGTAAAGTGACTAAACTTTGTTTTCCTGTATTCTTTTTGCTGCTGATTCTGAAGAAATAGCGCTTATAGATTATGAATAATTCTTGAACTCTTGCAAAGCTAATTTGATTTGATTAGTCTGCTTACCGTTAGAATAAGTGGATAAACGAAATTTTATGGAGAAATGCTACCTTTTTTTCCCCTTTTCTAACCATGTAGATGGAACAAATGCTGTTGCAGTGGCCATGTTTGGGTCTTTAGAGTGTGCGTCTTCTTGCCAATCTCTTCCATATGTCAATTTATGAGTTGTTCATTTTGTGATCTTAAAGATTGTCTGTTTGTCATGCAGTTGTTTTCGTTATGCACTGCTAATATAGCTGTGTTAAAATACCAAAAGATTTGGCAGTTGAAGAATAAGTTCCTGGCATACTTGAAAGTTCGTAGCTTTTATATGTCATTAAGTATTCAGGATGGAAGTCTACTGGTCTTTGACCCTCATTTGTACACCCAAAAATAACAACAATAGTACTAACTTAGGACAAAAGGAAAACGATATTATTAGAAACAGCAAGTTTCTAGATCCTGTGCATGAGTGCACCCACCTTGTAATTCCATGCTTTACTTTCCTTTTCCTTCTAATTGACATAAGCCTTGAAGATTCAACAGAATATGATTAAAAAGAAAACAAGGCGATTGGTGTTTGTTAAATACTGCTTTTGCAGGCTAATTTTCTATGTATTATATCGAACAAATTTTTAACACATTATTTTGTTACCAGGCAATATACAATGGGAAAAATGTTTGCAAATAAGCTAATAGAGTGTGCAAATGATGAATCGTCATTTCGGTTTGTGGTCATGGATCTGAAAGCAAAATCGCCTACCCTGCAAATCATATCGCTTTGCACCGTGAATTTTAGTATCAGTTTCCGTCAGGCTTGGGGGTTTCAATCTGAGTTGCATGTGTTAATTGAAGTGAGGATCCACAGAGAACAGATTTGCCCGTGGCTTTGCGCCGCAGGAGCACCAGCTCTCCTCTTATATAGATTGTATCCCATGCCTATCAAGCATATTGTTAGAGGGTCATTATTCTCTTTTTAAAAGGTTAATTTATTAGGACGTGCAGCACACCCACTTATATAGTTAGGATTCTTTTCAAATTCTTCTAGTGTGAGACTTGACAACTCCTTCGGACAATCCGTAATGCTGCCGTCAAAGATGATCTATCAGAGGGTCCACCGATTAGGCAAACTCAAGTCTAAATCTGATATCACTTTATTATAGGGCCATTACTCTCTTCCCAAAAGTTAATCCATTAGAGCATGCAACCCACCCGCTTATATAATCAGAACCCTCCCCAATTCTTTTAATGTGAAACCTGACAATGTGCTTGTTACTTTTTTGGGTGATCGTGGCCCTTTACTTTATCTTCAAATGTTATTCATTTTAAATTAATTTTTAATATTTTTAATATTATATTAGTGAAAAAAAAATTATAAAATTTATATAAAAAAACTAATATTAAATCTAGACTATCTAAGATATATTTAGATAGTTCATTTACAAAAATTATAAAATATATAAAATTGAATTGGTTCATCGAGATTATATTTGTATAATATAAAAACATTTGGATAGTTAATTTTTAAAAACTTATAAAAAATTATATTAAATTGAATATCCAAATTAAATTTGTATTGACTAGATTGGTGATAAAAAAATTTATAAAAAATATATATATATTTTTATATTTTTATTTTGATAAATATAAAATAAAAAATAAAAAAATTAAACCTAAAGTATCCAGATCTGGTCAGGATGAAGAGTATCATGGTACTCATCCTTTAGTAAGTATTGAAGATATTCTAGATTTAATATTAATTTTTTATAACATTTTAAATTTTTATTTACCCAAATAGAATAAAAAATATTAAAAATAATTTAAAATAAACAAGAAGATGATTTAAAGATAAAATGAAGGGTCATAATCACCAAAAGGGTGATGAGCACCCAATGTGCAACCCCTCCTGTAACATAGAAGACGTGCGATTTGAGTCCAGGCAATTGTGGAGGATGTGCGAGTTTCCTTTATATGAGGGAGGAGAATAAATATGAATGCGTATGTGAGCATTCTTGGATAATTATTTCCTATAAAAAAATCGATTTCTTTTTTTTTTTTTTTGTTTAAACTATGGCATCCAGGCTCCAGCCATGATTATTGACTGGGGTCAGGAAAATTCCTGGAACTTTCGAAGACGACTGCGTTTAAGATGCACATCAAGCGACGAGTTTTTTTTGTCCTAAAAACGACATGAGTTGGAGTCCTGCGTTTGGAGCTCATTAGTCATTACACCTGCCTTTTCCTTTGGTGCCTGAAGGCATCCTGAGTGTCTCTGATATATTGGCCGATGCAGCCATTCCAATATCGGTTGGCTGTTGGCGCAGTTTTAGCTCAAGTGTACGCTTGAAAATCTAAAGCGACGTTGACACTGAACCACTCCTGAAAAAAAAAAAAATGCATCACTCCACAATTTTAACAGTTTTTGGGCGTAGGTCGGTTTGCAATCTTTTTATTTGAATCTCCGTGGACTGATTGTTTGCTCACAGTGATTCTCAATTCGTTTCAGCATTCTTTCTCAGACACTCTGGGTTTCTTCAGTTGTACTCCCGAGTTCCAATTGCTATGCTTTTAACCATTCGAGTCACATTGTTGATTTCGTATCCAACATTCTTATACCTTCCAAGTTACGGCTTTGAGTATGCCTTTTAACACACAACTTAGAGCGCGATGCTCCATTGGTTTTACGGTATTTGCACTTAATATGTACTTTGTTTATACGCTTGATGGAATTTATGGTTGATAATTTTGGATGAAGTTGCTATCTCTTAACCCGGTAATCAGAGTAGCTGGATTGGGCAGACTTTTGAGTATGACGGGAAGGGGATGGTATGCTCTCAATCTGTTTGTGATATGTTCATAGGTGTCTTAAGGCCTCTGCATGAATAATTTTCTTTGCACTTTCAACGTCATTCCCGGTATAATAAATTAGTCAGTCACTTTGGCCTGCTGCAGGACTCTGACTTGGCGGTTCGATTTTGCAAAGATGTAGAGACTAGATCGCAAACGGTAGTCCATGTTACCGTGCCTTCAAATACTTTGTTGTTTGCTCTCTCTTCTTTATTTCTTTCCCTCCTTTGTGCATATAATAGCATTCTTAGTTTATTTGACTCACGATGTGTTCAGTAGTTGTTTACTTGCTTTTCAATCAGCTTTCTCTAAAACCTTAGGCACCGTCTCTATATAATATAAACCACGAGTTGCCTGGAAAATTATGAGTTAAAAAAACAAGTATTCGTTTTTTCATTCCTTCTTTTAAGAATACAAGGGCAGAATATGATAGCCTTTTTTTTTTTTTAACATTATATCAGGAGGGTCCCTGAAACTCCTGTTCCGTTTTAGATTTCCTTTCGGACAAGTCCTCTTTGAGGGGAAAAGGGAAATAAATCATGGACTCATTTTCACAGTTGTTACTTGTTAATGCAATCACAAAACGCTCCCTAAGAATTGGTGGATTTTATACCTTACCTGGATTACGTATCCTCATCAGGTCTGAAATTAAGACAGTGTACTATGCGAGCACTGAATAGTTCTTGCTGAATACTTGATTGCTAGGATTTTCTTGCTTCCTAGTTTTTGCTAATAAGGGATAAACTTCATCTGGAATTGCATTGCATGTGCTGATGTGCACTTCTTTTCCATTATACGTTTGTTCATTTCATTAGCCGACACCAAAACCATTCAGGGATATGTTGATTTTGGCCGATATGATAAATTGAACTACTTTGCTGCTGGTTCAGGCCAATCTGATTTCATCCAAGTAAGTTCCTTTAGTCCTTTCTATCTTGTGAAGCATAAACGATAAACTAAAAGTTAGGAATATTAGTATGCATTAGTTTTCCTTCATCTTTGTTCATTCATGCTAGAGGTGACTATCAATAAGAAGAGTTAGGCACACCAAATGAGTTTACATATGTGGTAGTGATAACCAAAAGAGGATTGAAAGCAAAAATGTGGAAGGCATATGGTGATAATTTATTAATCACCTTTTGTGTTAATATTAGATTTTGAAACTGAAAAGGATCAAAACAATGACTTAAAGAAGTTGTTATCTCTTTTGTGGCTAATATGGTACTGCATGGACAGCAGCAAGACTGAAGTAGGCAATAGTTCCACATGAACGTCTAAAGTCTCATGGTCCCACTTCAATACAGATTATTGTATTGGTGTCAAACTCTGAGAAAATTTCACTTCCAACTCATCTCCTCCCAATTTCTCTCTTTATTGTACACATTCCTTCTTTTTCCAAATCTAATGCAGTTTCCTAACATGTGCAGCGATTTTACAATGGTGACCTATCAGGTTGTGAACATAGTTATGACAAACTGGGTCGAACAGCTCAGGTTGATGTACTTTTAAGTGATCTCTTTCCTTTGTTATTTTCCTTCTTAATTAGTTATATGCTTGAATTGTCAGCTGAGTTGATAATACCAAAATGCTTGATTTTTTTTCCCCCTTTTGTGGGTGGGGTTAAAAAATTATGTGGTAATAGTCAGTCTTATCTTGGATGATTCACGTGTTTTTCTGCTGGATGCACTTCTCTCATAGTAACGTCATGTTTTTCAGGTGAATATCATGTGTGGGACCTGTCCAAATGGACAATGTAAAGGTGTGTAATAATTTATGCTGTTGATTTGTTTGTTTATCCTGCAAGCATTTGTCTCCTTGGCTACTTGGCATTTTTGTAATGTCTTAACCGTGATTACTACCCCATTCTCCCTTGCTCTTTTTTTGCGGTCCATTACTTTAAGTTGCTTAGAAGTAAAGCCAGTTGGAAATCACCAAGTAGAGCATTTTAGGTTCCTAGATAGCCGAACTCAGTGTTGCATGTAATCCAGAAAGCCTTTATAATTTTTCTTGCTGATTGTCATAATGCTACTTTGTAGAAGTTAGCAGAATTGGAGACAGAATTATTTCTTTAAAAATGATAATTGGACGTGAGACTGTTAATATTGTTAGCGCTTATGTGCCGCAAGTCGGGACAGAAGCCAGTCTTAAGGAATTATTTTGGGAGGATCTGGAGGGGTTGATTCAACACATACCACAGAGTGAAAAGATTTTTATTGGAGGAGACTTTAATGGGCATGTCGGGAGGGAAGCTGGTCAGTATGCGAGGGTGCATGATGGTTTTGGTTTTGGAGAGTTAAACAATGAAGGACAAACTCTTCTTGATTTCTCATTGGCGTATGATTTTAAGATTGCCAACACTTGTTTCAAGAAGAGAGATGAGCATCTCATCACTTACAAAAGTGGAGCCTCAAGGTCACAGATTGATTTTCTTTTGGTTAAGAACACAGATAGAAAACTTTGTAAAATTGTAAGGTGATCCCCGGAGATGCTGTAACGACACAACATAGGGTCCTAGTCCTTGATGTGTGTATTATGAGTAAAATCCAAAAACGTCGACAAGTAGTAACACTAAGGATTAGGTGGTGGCAATTAAAAGGTGAGAAGCAAGATATTTTCAAGCGAAATCTTTTGGATAAAGGAATTCGGGATTCTCAGGGAAGTGCTAACATCATATGGGAGGATATGGCGAAAAAGATACGGGAGGTTGCAAAAGTAGTTTTGGGAGAATCGAAAGGTTCTGGTCCGAGAGATAAGGAGTCTTGGTGGTGGAATAATAGTGTACAAGACAAAATCAAATATAAGAAGAACTGTTTTAAAGCCATACATTTGTGTAACAATGAGGAAAATTGGGAGAGGCACCGTATGGCTAAGAAGGAAACTAAGAGAGCTGTGGGTGAAGCTCGTTCTAAAGCTTTTGAAGAATTTTATAAGAATCTTGAGACGAAGGAAGGAGAGCAAAATATTTATAAGATTGCCAAGAGTAGGGAAAGAAAATCAAGAGATCTAGAACAGGTAAGGTGTATTAAGGATGAAGAGGGAAAAATTTTAGTTACAGATGATGAAATTAAAAATAAATGGGAGACTTATTTTTCTAAACTTTTCAATGATGGAGAGGATTCATCTAGTAACTTGG